GAGGCCCAGAAAAATCAGCCATCGATAATCTTCTTTGATGAGATAGACGGCCTTGCCCCAGTCAGGTCCAGCAAGCAGGAGCAGATCCACAACTCGATCGTATCCACATTACTGGCTTTGATGGATGGTCTCGATTCTCGGGGGCAGGTGGTCCTGATTGGGGCCACCAACAGGATCGACGCCATAGATGGAGCCTTGAGACGTCCAGGGAGATTTGACCGCGAGTTCACCTTTCCTTTGCCCGGATGCGAGGCACGAGCGGAGATTTTGGACATACACACTCGTAAGTGGAAACAGCCGCCTTCCAAGGAGCTTAAACTGGAGCTTGCGGCCAGTTGCGTGGGGTATTGTGGAGCTGACCTGAAGGCTCTGTGCACTGAGGCTGCAATACGCGCCTTTCGCGAGAGGTATCCTCAGGTTTATACCAGCGATGATAAGTTCTTGATAGATGTTGAGTCCGTGAGGGTAGAGAAGTATCACTTTTTGGAGGCTATGTCCACAATCACTCCTGCTGCCCACAGGGGCTCCATAGTGAACTCGAGGCCGTTATCGCCCATTGTTGCCCCGTGTCTACAAAGACTTCTTCGCAAGGCAATGGGTATTATTTCTGATATATTCCCCGTTCTAACAGTTTCTTCGGAGGTGACTAAGCTTTCATTGGTTTCCTATGGATCTGCAATTTCACTTGTTTATCGGCCTAGGCTTTTACTGCATGGCGATGATTGTGTTGGATTGGTAAATGTCTTAAATCTTTTCATTATGCTGTCAACAGTAGTAAAACTCACGCTAACTTATTTTTAAGTGGTTTTGTTATGTAGGATCATATCGGGCCTGCAGTTTTACACGAACTGGAGAAGTTTCCAGTTCACTCTCTCGCACTACCATCTTTACTTTCTGATCCTGGTGCCAAAACACCAGAGGAGGCGTTGGTGCACGTGTTTGGTGAGGCCAGGAGGACTACACCGTCAATACTGTATTTACCTCAATTCCACCTGTGGTGGGAGAGTGTGAGTGCTTTTTGTAGTTATAACATTTGACCTGATTTTGGGTACACTTTAATCTTCAGTTTTCTTCTGCCGGCTTTCGTTTGCTTTAATTTTCTGCTTTTCGGATACTATTCATTTGTTTTTCCAGGCTCACGATCAATTAAAGGCCGTACTGCGTACACTATTGGAAGAATTGCCTTCTGACCTGCCCGTATTGCTGTTGGGTACTTCCTCGACCCCGCTTGATGAGATATGTGATAATCCATCCTCAGTATTCTCTGATCGCAATGTGTACGTGTTTTTGTCAAATATTGAGATACCGTACTACGATTATTTTGTCAGATTTGTTTATTTAAGCTACAAGATGCTAAAACGTATATATTTCCTTTTGACAGGTTGCAATTAAGCCCACCATCAACCGAAGACAGATCTTTGTTTTTTGACCTCCTGATTGCAGCAGCATTGTCAGTTCAATCTGATGGTCTAGCAAAGGAATCAGCTAGATCCCAGAACCTTCCGGAACTTCCGAAAGCACCAAAAGTGGATACAGCACCAAAGGCCTCCGAATTACGGGCCAAAGCTGAAGCTCAATTGCACGCCCTTCGACGGCTGCGCATGTGCCTTCGAGATATTTGCAATCGGTGAGACACATAGTATGATACTTTGCTGCTTTTTTATGATTAGCTGATTAACTTCTGGATTTTTCTCTCGTTTATTTTGTCACAGGGTTCTGTATGACAAGCGTTTTAGTGCCTTCCATTATCCCGTCGTGGATGATGATGCACCAAACTATCATGCGATTATCCAAAATCCTATGGACGTAGCTACTTTGCTTCAGCATGTCGATAGTGGAAAATATATCACGTGCAAATCGTTCTTGGAGGATTTTGATCTCATTTTAACGAATGCCAAGGTTTGTTTAACCTGACTTTGGTAACTAGTGCCCAATAACTCTTTAAAACAGTAGTAATAATAATGAAAGAACTGAACATAAAAAAATACTAATCATTCAACTCTTTTACGTCTTTATACTAACAGTTTGTCTCTGCTTTATTAGAAATACAATGGGAATGATTACAATGGAGCAAGGATTGTCAGTCGGGCCTATGAACTTCGAGATTCTGTATGTCCATCCATCAGTTCATTCTAAACTTCTCTAGGTTGGGCCTTGTTCCTTTAAATTTAATGCAAATACTACTCTCACATTTTCAGGTGCACGGGATGCTATCC